CGACATGAACAATTCTCTTTGAATATTGGTAGTCCACTATCTCATGTCCATCATTAGCTTCATAGCTTCTTTCTTTGCTAAGAACTTACTATATGCGCCAAATGTAACAAAGAGTCCATCACTTTTGAATTTGGTGTGGATGTTGGTTTGCTGTCCCGACATAAGCTGACACGAAGGCCCATCGCAGGGATCATTCAACCAAAATGGAACGTGAGAAAAATAATCTTTTGAAAGTTTTTGTCACAAGTGTTTTCAGGGTTGCAGTGGCTACTTGATCAGTCACAAACAGTATGGTTTCAATCAAGCCATCTCCTGTTTGCAATTACCTGCAAGCCTTCCCCGCCCTAGTTAATTGCAGGTTAACTCCCCATATAAGCAAGGACCTTTTCGCTTGCTACTTGGGCCTAACGCTGTTTAGGCCTAGATGCAAGACCTCTTGCTGGAAGCTGCAAGCAGAGCTCAGTGCAACGTCGCAGATGGGAGGAGAAGCACAGATAAGGACTCCAGACGCTGTTGCAGAGAAACTCCTATGGATGCTTGCCTTTTGCTGTTTTGAAGCACGCAAGCTATCATCGGGACTGCTGTTGCTGGACATTCTTCCTCCCACAAACTTCAAGCTACGTTTGCTGTTTGAACTGTTTTTACTTCAGGTGACTTTTAGCTGTGAAGTTTGTGCTGCCGCCCTTCTACTACCTCGATGATGTATCGACACCGAAGCTGCTTATCTTCATGTTAGCTTTATTCTCTTGTGAACTGTTTCGGTATTGTGGAGAGGAATCTAGGGAGATAGCCTTGCTTCACATAACCAAGATAAGACTTTGTTTTTAATGTGCTTTCTTAAAGACATAGTGCTTTTTAAATGTTTTAAAGTAAATTATATTTTTACACAAGACGCCTCTGTCAGATTTATTTCAGTCTCAGTGTGTTTGCTCATGAGCTGGTTCACGGTCCGGGGTACCCCTCAATCCCATTCCCTAACAGTTTTCTTCTCCAAAGTTTTCTTCTTAGTCCTTTGAGCAAACTCATCTAATTGCATCCTCATTGAGTCAACTTCCACATGTTTTTTTTTTTCTAAATATACAAAAAGAGTTACTCCCTTTTCTGCCGCAAAGAGACCTAGTTTGCATCAGTAGTAATTATCCGGCTTGCAATTATCTGAGGTCATTCGTTCTCCATACTGACTTCACCCGAGGGATCGCTAGACAACATCAAAAACATGACTACGTCAGTGAATATTGCAAGGAACTATAAAATCTTTGTTTTGCACAATTCCAAGCTAGGGAAAGACAAAGAAGAAGGCAAAATGCTATCCAGTTGTACATTGTAAATTTCTCCAATTCATTTAGGCAATTATTGCCTTATCTCTGCATTGCTTGAAGTCTAAGGAGTATTTTTCAGAGTTGGGCTGTCCTTAGTTACACTCCTTTTTCTATGGTTATAGTTGTGGAGCCGTTTGTTCGATGATGTAGCTTTCTGATTTTTGCAAAAGCTCTCAACCTACAGATGGCCTGGAATCAACCTCCATCTAGAGTGATATGGAATCAGATGTTCGCGCTAACAACGCTAGTACTCCTTCCGTCTTATGGGAGAGCTAAAGCAGACATCCAGAAGTGCTCTAGCAAAGAGTCATTTCTGGTTCCACATGAGTGGTACCAGCCTGGCAAGTTCCTGATTGGCGGGATAGTTTCTCATATCTTAAATATCTATTTCCAATATACTTTTGATGAAGCTCCTTCTAAGAAACTGAACAATGAACTTCCACTGTAAGTATTTTCTCGCTTGCTTCCTATGCTTTTCCTCTGCCGTCAGGGCTACACTCACTGAGCTGCTAAGATCTAGTTAGTCATTTAATGGCATAAAAGAACAGGTGGCCATCCTAGCTTCCTTCTACCATTAGTAGTTATTTTTCACCTTAGCATTTATTTGCTCTTTAACTTCCATGTTAAAAAAAGACACATGAGGAGAATATCTGTCTTACACATTGGCAACAAAAATCAGAACACTAAATACAAGCTGGGTGGATACGACCTTATAGATGACCCTCACTCTGTCAAGGACCTAGGAATAGTCATCTCAAACAATCTAAGCCCCAGAGCTCACTGTAACAGCATTGCCAAAAAGGCATTAAGAGTTGTTAACCTAATTTTGTGAAGCTTCTTCTCCTCTAACATCAAATTGTTAACTAGGGCGTACAAAATCTTTGCCAGACCATTGCTCGAATACAGCTCATCTGCCTGGAATCCAGACTGTATATCAGACATTAATACAATTGAGCAAGTCCAGAGGTATTTCACGAGAAGTGTCCTCCATTCCTCTGCTCACAACCTTATGCCACCAGGCTCAAAATTTTGGGCTTGGACAACTTAGAACTACGCCAACTACGGTCTGACCTAAGCGTAGTACACAAAATTGTCTGCTATAACATCCTATCTGTCAATGACAATTTTAGCTTCAACCACAATAATACACAGGCAAACATTAGATACAAACTCAAGGTAAACTGCTCCAAACTCGATTGCAGAAAATACGACTTTAGTAACAGAGTGTCAATGCCTGGAATGCACTACCTGACTCTGTTGTTACATCCTCAAACCCCTAAAACTTTAATCTTAAACTGTCTACCGTGGACCTCACCCCATTCCTAAGTGGTCTGTAAGGGGGCATGCATAAGCACACCAGCGTGCCTACCATCCCTGTCCTACTGCCCCCATTTATTCGTACTCATTTCCTGTGTTCATCTCCATGTTTATACTTATTCCTGTTATCTCGTACACGTTTGACAAACTAATTAACTAAATAAATAAATAAATCAGGGCTACACTCTCTGAACTGCTAAGATTTAGTCAGTCATTTAATGGCATAAAAGAGCAGATGGCCATCCTATCTTCCTTCTACCATTAGTAGTTGATTTTCACCTTAGAGCTAGTAGCACTTATTTGCTCTTTAACTTCCACGTTAAATAAGGCACATAAGGAGAATAATTAAGTTAGAAGGAAATTAAGGTAAAGTGGACTGCCTTAATGCATGGGAGAGATTGCAAGAGGCCAATGGTTCTTTGATGTTTAAATTGGAATCATAATAAATAGCTATGAAAGGAGAGAAAAGCACAGCTGGACAAAAAGAGGAAGGATATGGAGGAAAATTGTCCAAAATTGTTTAAAAAGAAAAAAAACTGGCTCTGGTGAAAGGAATAATATTCTGTTACTTTAGACCAAATATTATGCTTTCCTCTATTTAAAATGTTATGGAAATGACAAGATACAGTTCCTGCAGTGCAGTTCATTACAAACTGTAAATACCACTTCATAGCTAAGGGGATTATATCAGTTGCATTAAGATACTTTCTTCTATTCAGCTCCCTGATTTTACTAACGAAGGAGCCGATAAGGGTTGGTGGGAAGATTTCCAATTAATTGTGCCTTATTTAAATCTGAGCCATGCAGGAAGGTGGCCATAGAATGGCATGGACTGTAGATTAAATTCACCAAAGATGTATAATTATTTTTTTGGGTAGAATGTTGCCAAAGTTCTACCAACATCTCCTGGCTCTGGCCTTTGCTGTGAATAAAATCAACCAGGATCCAATGATATTGTCAAATTTCACCCTTGGCTTCCACATCTATGATAGTCATTTTGATTCAAGGATGACCTATCGGATCACTTTGGACTTGCTCTTCAAGTCACAGGCATTTCTCCCCAATTACAAATGTGACCCTCACAGAAGACATATAGCACTCATTGGGGGAATCAGCCCTGACATCTCCTCCTATGTGGCAGACATCTTAAGTCTGTACAAGATCCCACAGGTAAGATCTGTGCACATCCACAGAGCAGTCCTATCATTTCGGTACAGTACCTGGTTTTGTTTTTCTGAAAGTGAGTCTCGCATTCTCAAAAGAGTGGAAGTGAAATGCAGAAATGAAGAAAGCTTTCAGAGACTGGAAGAGATGCAAGCATACAGTAGAACCTAGATAATAGCCTGTCAACAACAAAATAACACTGCTGAATAACAGGTAGGTAGGTAGGAGAGAGAGGGGGGGAGAGGACGGTTGGATAATAGATGATAGATAGGCAGGCAGACAGACAGATAGATGAGAGATGAGAGAGAGAGAGATGATACATGACAGACAGTCAGGCAGACAGACAGATAGATGATAGATAGAGAGATGAGAGAGAGAGAGAGAGAGAGAGAGAGACAGGGAGAGGATAGATGATAGACAGACAGGCAGATAGATGATATAGATAGAGAGATGAGAGAGAGAGAGATGATAGATGATAGACAGACAGGCAGACAGATAGAGAGATGATAGAGAGATTATAGAGATAGAGAGATAGATAGACAGATAGATGAGAGAGGGAGAGGGAGATGATGTTTGAATGACATATGATAGACAAACAGGCAGAGAGATAGATAATGATAGATAGATAGATAGATAGATAGATAGATAGATAGATAGATAGATAGATAGACAGACAGACAGACAGACAGATAGATGATAGAGACAGACAGACAGACGGACAAAGAATGGTTGGATGATAGATGATAAACAGAGACAGATAGATATGGATGGATAGATGGATAGAATTAGAAATAGAGAGATAGAGATGACAAAGATGAGAAAGAGGGGGGAGGGGGAGAGAGAGAGAGATGTAGAGATAGATGACATATAATACATCTGCTATGTGAACAGCTTGGGTGCCAGTTTGTTTCCAGATCCAACCAAAGATGTTAGCTATCTCCCTTAAAGCTTTTCATGGAATGGGGCCAAGTTACCTGAGAAACTGTTTCATTTCAGCTATATTGTCTCATTCAGGTAGATCAGGTAAGGGAGGCATGTTGTATATGTTGTCAGTAAAATAATTTTGTTTGAAGGGATCCAGGAAGAGACAGTTCTTTGCTGTTGCCCCCACCTCATCCAGAGGTGAGTTGAGCCCCCTGTTAAGACCTGGCTCTTCCAATTGGCATGGGGGTCAAAGAGTGATATGCAACTCTGGAGTGGGTTGGTATCCTTTGTTATCTTCTCAATTTTTTTCACTTTTAATACCATAACCCTACCTTTTAAATTTCATTTTTAACTTTGTTCTGATTTATGCTCTTATGCTATGATATCTTTTTTATTACCGTGTTTTCCCCAAAATAAGACATCCCCTGATAATAAGCCCAATCAGGCTTTTGAGTGCATGGCAATAAGGCCAAGCATTTATTTCAGGGTTCAAAAAAATATAACACAGGGTCTTATTTTTGGGGAAATACGGTATTATAAGCTGCCCAGAGTCACAGGTGAGATGGGCAGCATAGAGATGTAATGAATAAGTAAATAAATAATATGTATCTAACTATCTCTGAGTGTGTCCTTTCAGCTCACATATGGATCATTTCCTATGCAAAGAAGCAATATGGTAGAGACATCTTCCTTTTACCACACGGTCTCCAATGAAGGTCATCAATATACAGGCATTATCTATTTACTTAAACATTTTGGGTGGATCTGGGTTGGACTTTTAGCTGGAGACGACGAAAGCGGAGAACGTTTCTTGAAAAAGCTGGAGTCGTTATTTCTCCAGCATAAAATTTGTTCAGCCTTTGTTCAAAGAATGCCAGTTGACAGCCGATTCCCTGAACTCGATGAACTGAACACCATTTCTGCAAATACGAATGAGTTCTACTCAGATCCGAAAGTTAATGCCCTTGTTGTCTATGGTGAGACTCTAACTGTAATGTGGCTAAGCACTGCGTTGTTTTTCGCCGGTGTTAACTATACCGAAAAGGTGTGGATTATGACAGGCCAGATTGACTTTGCTTCAACCGTCATTTCAAGGGATTGGAAATACGAGATATTCCAAGGTACCCTTATTTTTGCGATCCACTCCAATGAGCACGAAGAGTTTCAGATCTACCTTCAGAATATAAAACCAGCCAAGACACACCTTGATGATTTTTTCAAGGAATTCTGGGCACAAGCCTTTGGTTGCTCTATTCCGGATCCTAAGGACCCAACAGAATCTCACAAATTTTGTAGTGGGACAGAATCCTTGAGGGATCTTCCAGGGATTCTGTTTGAGATGGTCATGACTGGCCATAGCTACAGCATCTACAATGCAGTCTTTGCTGTGGCCCACGCTTTACACAACCTGGATTTATCTAGACCAAAACATAAAGCAGTCAGGATGACAAGACCTCTTGAAGAGATAAACCCTTGGCAGGTAATGTCTCCAGAATGAGAAAAAGAAAAGGAGAATGAGAATGAGAAGAAACTCTACATAGCATTGAAAAAATAATTCACATGAAACTAAAATACATAGAAGTTCCTTTTTTGCTGATAATATATGGCATTCATGGATTATTTAAGATGTTTTCTGTTGGGGGAGGGGAGTCCTCTTATATTTTCCAGTTCTAGGGAGCTCAGTGACTCATGAGTTTAGGATGCCGGGCTGACAATCAGCAAGCTTGTGCTCGAGACCCAGTTGCTGCCGCAGGATGGTGCGAGTTCCCATCAAACGTTCCTGCCAACCTAGCATTTTGAAAGCGGACAACCATCAGTAAACATTTCAGTAACATTTCAGTGGGAAACTTAATGGGGGACATGAAAAGAACCTCCCAATTGTGGGTCCCTTGGGCAATGGCGATGTCACTATTTAATCATTTCAACCTGGAAGTGCTAAAGCACTTTGGTTACAACTGTAGTAGTTCCAGTTCTGAAGATGAGTAAAACCTTTTCATTCACTTTCGCAACTATCCTTTTTAAAGAAGAATTTTCAAAAGTTTTCATATTTGGTCATGAATCAGATTTTTAAAAAGTTATTTTTTTTAAAAAAAATGTAAAAGTAGAATGTATAGATTCAGGCATTCAGACAGAGATTTCTACATGTACATAGTTCTTAAGAGTTTGATTCAACTCCTTACATTATTAAAGGTGATTCTCTTATTCTATTATTGCCCTGGTTCAGTCACTTGAAAAAAATAACGATATTTTGTAAACAGCAAGATGAAAAATGAATCCAAGGGCTTTTCGAAAAACAATGTGGTAGTAGAAATATGTGTAAAATTCAGAGAGGTGGGAGACCATTACAAAGACACATTTGTTTGTTTGTTTGTTTGTTTGTTTGTTTGTTTGTCAAACATGTACAGATAGCAGGTGTAAATATAGATGTGGACATGAACAAAAGAAATGAATACATATAAATGGGGACAGTAGGACAGGGACGGTAGGCACGCTGGTGTGCTTATGCACGCCCCCCTTTACGGACCTCTTAGGAATGGGGTGAGGTCCACGGTAGACAGTTTAAGGTTGAAGCTGTGAGGGTTAGAGGATGTAACATTGTAGTCGGGTAGAGCATTCCAGGCATTGACCATTCTGTTGCTGAAGTCGTATTTTCTGCAATCGAGTTTGGAGGGGTTTACCTTGAGTTTGTATTTAATGTTTGCCTGTGTATTATTGCAGTTGAAGCTAAAGTTGTCATTGACAGATAGGACATTGTAGCAGACAATTTTGTGTACTACGCTTAGGTCAGACCATAGTTGGCGTAGTTCTAGATTGTCCAAGCCCAAAATTTTGAGCCTGGTGGCATAAGGTTGTGAGCAGAGGAGTGGAGTACTCTTCTCATGAAATACAGTACCTCTGGACTCGCTCAATTGTATTAATGTCTGATATACAGTGTGGATTCCAGGCAGGTGAGCTGTAATCTCTAAAGGCTTAGAGGATGTAACATTGGAGTCGGGTAGAGCATTCTAGGCATTGACCACTCTGTTGCTGAAGTCGTATTTTCTGCAATCGAGTTTAGAATGGTTTATCTTGAGTTTGTATTGATTGTTTGCCCGTGTATTATATAACCAACTGGTTCAGGTTAAAAAGGGAGAAAGGGAAGGCACAGGCAGCAGCAATAAGTTGGAAGAGACCTTGGAGGTCTTCTAGTCCAACTCCCTGCTCAAGCAGAAGACCCTATACCATTTCAAATAGGTGGCTGTACAGTTTTTTCTTAAAAACCTCCAGTGATGAAGCACCTACAACTTCTGAAGACAAGGTGTTCCGCTGGTTAATTGTTCTCACTGTTAGGAAGTTTCTCCTTGATTCCAGGTTGCTTGTCTCCTTGATTAGTTTCCATCCATTGTTTCTTGTCTTGCCTTCTGGTGCTTTGGAAAATAAATTGACTCCCTCTTCTTTGCGGCAGCCTCTCAAATACTGGCATACTGCTATCATGTTCCCCCGGTCCTTCTTTTCTCTAGACTGGCCATATCCAATTCCTGCAAACGTTCTTCATGTGTTTTTATCTCCAGGCCCTTAAACATCTTAGCTGCTCTTCTTTGCACCTTTTCCTGATTTTGTTTTCATAGCTTCTGTAAAGTTTATTATATATCAATAAAATATAACTCTAGTTATTTCCATATCCAGTGTACCATAAGGAATTAAAATCATTGCAGGGTGGAGTCTGGGCAACTGAATGGAGTTGAGTGATTACTGGCCAGATGCTCTTCCTATTGCCAATGCGGAGTTATATTCAGCAGATATATTCTCATCCACAGAGAAAAATATCTATTTGGATCGAACTCACAGCCTCCTGATTGTGAGGCAAGAGGTCCACCTCTAGGCCAATGCACCACTCACCATGAAGAATTAAAATATTATATAAAATAAAATATTCTTAGTTTGAGTTATGAAAAGATCCATTCTCTTATCTGTTTCTTGCTTTGTTCTTCTTTATCTTCTTAGCTCCACCACTTCCTTCAGACCCTTTCATTGAACAACACAGATGGAGAAACGGTGTCCTTTAATGAGAATAAGGAGATGGGATCCGGATTTGATATAATAAACCTCCTTATTTTCTCTAATAACTCTTTTCATAAAGTAAAGGTTGGAAGGATCGGGACCAAGGATTCTCAAGGAAAGCAATTCATCATTGAGGACAACAAGATTAAATGGCATGGCAGCGCTAACAAAGTGAGTTATCATAAATCGTCTGAAAAGCCCAATTTTAATGGTTGGAATTCTCTCCCTTTCCATTACAACAAATAAATAAACAAACTCAATTACTTTATCAACCAATAGAGAATAGTAACATCTTTATGGGATACTCCTAGATACCTCTACTAGGAGAAATGGAATACTTACAATGGAAAGGAAAATATTTTCAGAGAGATGCCCTATTTTTTCATTATTGTTTTAGGGTAGGAGTAGTAATGTGATATAAGGGATGCGGTGGCTCAGTGGCTAAGATGTTGAACTTGTTGATCGAAAGGTCAGCAGTTCAGCAGTTCGAATCCCTAGTGCTGCGTAATGGGGTGAGCTCCCGTTATTTGTCCCAGCTTCTGCCAACCTAGCAGTTCAAAAGCACGTAAAAAATGCAAGTAGAAAAATAGGGACCACCTTTGATGGGAAGGTAACAGCATTCTGTGCGCCTTTGGCATTTAGTCATGCCGGCCACATGACCACAGAGACGTCTTCAGACAGCGCTGGCTCTTCGGCTTTGTTTCAAATGAGCATTGCCTCCTAGAGTTGGGAATGACTAGCAGTTCCCTAGAGTCGGGAACAACATTTATCTTTACCTTTAGTGGTGTGATGGCCTAGAGGTGGAGGTCTCACCTCACAATCAGGAGGCTGTGATCCTAGGTAATGGTATATATTTCTCTCTCTAGGCACAAAGAGAGAATATCTGCTGTGAACTCCATATAGGAGTCAGGAAGGGCATTCGGCCAGTAAATGCTCAGCTCCACTCAGTTGCTCCAACTTTACCCCAATGCAAGGGATGATAGAGTTGTTAAAAGAAAAAAAAATGTTTTGGGGTAGGAGAAGCCATTAAAAAAAAGAGACAATTATGGCTCCTCTATTTTTAGTAGAAAATATAAATGGACAAATCTATCCCTGTCTGGGGGATTTTAATCCTCTGTTTCCTCTTTGTTTTCTGCTTTGTTTGTTCTTTAACCTGTAGACCTTTATCAGCTTTCAGGGGAGGGGAGTTTACAAGGATTTTGCCTACATTTCCCACAGTATAGGAATTCTTTGTTTCCAGAAACATTTTGACAAAGGAGTAGCATTTGTTCCTTGTCTACTTCTCCCTAAGTAAAACCAACATTTTCTTGGAGGCAAGTTCAGTTTATAGTGAAAGTAGGGATAAATTTGAGGGGAAAAAAATTCTGAAATGGGTGGCATTTTCTGGGTACTCCCCCCCCCATCTACCAGCTGTCCTCCAGCTTTGGAGTTTTCTTTCTCCACAGTAATATGCAGATCTGCTGTTTTAAATTCAATTAAGAGGTACAAATAGACTCCAGATTCACAGAGATATAGAGCCTTAGTAAGTCCTTGGGAGGAGGAGGAAGAAAAAGAAAAAGAAAAGAACAAGGAGGAGGAGGAGGAGGAGGAGGAGGAGGAGGAGGAGGAGGAGGAGGAGGAAAAGGGGAAAGGGAAGCAGAAGAGGGAGAAGATTGTTAATAGTTAATTCTACATCAAGAGTTTACTTTAAGATGAAGTGTTGTACTTTGTATGATAATTTCAACATTGTCCAGGAGGCATTAATTGCAGTGGCCTATCTTCCTCCCTCCCTATCTATCTACTGTCAGTAGTGAGATTCAAAATTTTTTACTACTGGTTCTGTGGGTATGGCTTGGTGGGCATGGCATGGCTTGGTGGGCGTGGCTTGGTGGGTGCGACAGGGGAAGGATACTGTAAAAATCTCCATTCCCGCCCCACTCCAGGAGAAGGTTACTGCAAAATCTCCATTTCCTCCCAATCAGCTGGGACTCACCAGGATCACCTTCTGCCTGCCTCCAACCGCCCAGTGCGCTCACATAGGATTGCCCTCCTCCGGGTGCCATCGGCCAGACAATGTCGGCTGATGGCGCCCAGGATGAGGGCATTCTCTGTGGGCGCACTGACCTCTGGAATGGTTTACCCACTGGGCTCCGGATGGCCCCCGACCTCCGCTCTTTCCGCGGTGACCTGAAGACATGGCTTTTCCAACAAATTTGCTGATCTGATGGGAGTTTTAACTAATCCTTTGGGGATTGTAATTGAGTATTTTAGTTGTAATTTTACTGTTTTATTGTTTTATCTTTGTGAGCCGCCCCGAGTCCTTCGGGAGAAGGGCAGCATATAAGTATAAATAAACTAAACTAAACTAAACTCAGGAGGCAGAGAATAGATGGGGACAGGGCCAGTCAGAGGTGGTATTTACCAGTTCTCCAAACTACTCAAAATTTCTGCTACTGGTTCTCCAGAACTGGTCAGAACCTGCTGAATACCACCTCTGCTACTTATCTGCCTATTTACCTTCCAAACATGTGTAAATTGATTATTCATTTGTTATGTCATACCAGATCATCTCTACCTAACTTTTTTTATTAAACATTTTTTTAAAAAAAGATCCATCCCCTTTCCTTGTGTAATCCTTACTGCCAGCCTGGTTATCAAAAGGAAAAAAAAGAAGGAGAGCAATTTTGCTGCTATGATTGCGTTCGGTGTCCAGAAGGGAAGATTTCCAATGAAAGAGGTAAATAGCACTTAGCAATAGCACTTAGATTTATATACCACTTCATAATGCTTTTACAGCGCTCTCTAAGCAGTTTACAGAGTCAGCCTATTGCCCCCAACAATCTGGGTCCTCATTTTATTGACCTTGGAAGGATGGAAGGCTGAGTCAATCTTGAGCCGGTGAGATTTGAACTGCTGAACTACAGTTAGCAGTCAGCTGAAGTAGCCTGCAGTACTGCACTCTAACCACTTCGCCACCATAATACAGCAAATCTTCCAATGTAATTGATATAAATTGGAGAACATCAAAATGTCTATGTTTGACATCATCTCTGCCTGTTATTCTTCTTTTTATCTCTTTTCTCCTGCATGCTTAATAAGAATTGGAAAGATACTCAACATGGTAATTGTTGAGAAGGGTTGTGCCAATATAGCTTGGGCCATACAAATTATACAGCAATATATTCTTGATTAATATATTATTATTACGACTTTGTAGGACTTCATATTTTAAGGAACAATATATTTGGAATACATGGGTGCATGAACAGAGTACCCACGTGCAACTTTTTAATTCAAACACAACTTTTCTTGGCAACATCTATCAAAGGGGCGGCACAATGACTCAGTGGTTAAAGACATTGAGCTTGTCAGCTGGAAAGCTGATAGCCTGGGTTAGAAACCTGAGCACCATGCAATGGGATGTTCTCCTGTTACCTGCCCCAGCTCCTGATCACTTAGCAGTTCAAAAGCATGCAAATATGAGCAGATAAATAGGTACCACTTTGATGGGAAAGTAACAGCATTCCGTGGGCCTCAGTATATAGTCATGCTGGCCATGTGACCATGGAAATGTCTTTAGACAAGGTTAGGTCCTTCAACTAAGAAATGGAGATGAGCACCATCCCCTAGAGCCGTGACGGTGAACCTATGACATGTGTGCCAGAGGTGGCACACAGAGCCCTCTCTGTGGGCACACGTGCCATCGCCAGCTGCTCTTTTAGTTTTTGGCATGCCAACAATGCCGGAGTACCAGAAAACTGCCTGAAAACAGTCAGAAAAATAGCCAAAAAACAGGCCAGTTTTGGGGCCATTTTGGGCCATTTTCATAGCCGCCTTATTATTATTATTATTATTATTATTATTATTATTATTATTATTATTATTATTAATATTATTAATATTATTATTATTATTATTATTATTATTATTATTATTATTTAATCTTTAGTGAGATTCACAGCCTTTGAGGCTGGTTAATAGCTCAGCAGCTCGAGTCCTAACCAAGGACCTAGGAACTGTTAAGGTATCGTCGGAGGATGTAAGCTGTTCCGAGTAAGGTGGTTTTTTGTAGAGTCAAAATGTTCAAGTCCGGCAAATTTAGAATTTCTAAATAGCGGGGTAGCCCTTTGGGTATTGCTCCGAGGGCTCCAATTACAATCGGGACAACACACGATTTCTTTTTCCACAGTCGCTCAACTTCAATTTGTAAATTATTATTATTATTATTATTATTATTATTATTATTATTATTATTATTATCATTTATTGAATTTATATCCCACCCTTCTCCCCGAAGGGACTCAGGGCGGTGAACAGCCGAAAATTAAAATAACATACAATATAAAAGTTAAGATAACTAAAAATAAATTAAATTAATCGGCCTCCCAATTTAAAACCCCAAGCTATACAATTAAAAAACTAACCCATAAAACCTATTCAGGCCAGGCCGGCTTGCTGAAATAAAAATGTCTTCAGGGCCTTACGGAAAGTGCGGAGATCCAGGATCAGCCGTATGCCGGGAGGGAATTTTAGGCCAAAACCAGCCGAAAAAAAACGGCCTGATAACAGCTCAAAAACAGCCTGAAAATGGCCCGAAAAATGGCCTGAAAACAGCCCAAAAATGCCCTGAAAATGCCCCCAAAATGCCCCCAAATCAGGCATTTCCATGCTGGTCAGCTGGTCTTTGGGTTTTTAGTGCTGGGGCACGCACACATGCATGCACATCCATGCACATTTCACTTTGGGCACTTGATGCCGAAAAGGTTCGCCATCACTGCCCTAGAGTCAGACATGACTGGAGAAGGGAATCCTTTATCTTTATCTATCAATGGTCATATCACACAGGAGAGGACACAGAAGATTTAGAGTAGGGGCTGGCTCATGTCACTTCGGCCCGGTCTACCCAATGCGAAGAGGAAACATTGGGCCAGCGTGGGTTCGGCCCAATCTACCCAATGCAAAGAGGAAACATGCCAGCAGTTTGGGGAGTGGCGTCAAGCTGGCTACACCCACTGAATCAGCCAAGCCCACCCAGTTGGCCATGCCTTCCTGCCCCCCTCAAGGTCAACCACAGCCCTGATGAAGCCCTCAATTAAATTTTAATTTAATTTAATTTATTTTAAATTTATATACCGTCCTTCTCCCTGAGGACTCAGGGCGGTGTACAGCCAGAATTAAAAAACATAAAATACAAATATTAAAAACAATTAATATATATATAAATTTGGCCCAAAATTAAAAATACAAACCAATTAAAACATTTAAAATTTCTTCTTAAGCCAGACCGGCTTGCTGGAAAAAGTGGGTTTTAAGGGCATGGCGGAAGGCGCTAAGGTCTTGGATTCTTCTTATCTCTGGGGGCAACTGATTCCAGAGGGTAGGTGCCCCCACAGAGAAGGCCCTCCCCCTGGGGGTCACCAGCCTGCATTGATTGGCTGATGGCACACTGAGGAGGTCCTCTCTGTGGGAGCGCACGGGACGATGGGAGGTCGTTGGTAGCAGCAGGCGGTCTTGAAGATAGCTAGGCCCGATGCCATGGAGCGCTTTAAAGGTGATAACCAACACCTTGAAGCGCACCCGGAAGACCACTGGGAGCCAGTGCAGCTCGCGCAGGAGCGGTGTTACATGGGAGCGCCAAACTGCTCCCATCACTACCCGCGCTGCTGCATTCTGGACCAGTTGGAGCCTCCGGGTGCTCTTCAAGGGGAGCCCCATGTAGAGAGCGTTGCAGTAGTCAAGGTGAGAAGTGACAAGGGCATGAGTGACTGTGCACAGGGAATCCCGATCAAGAAAGGGCCGCAACTGGCGAATCAGGCGAACCTGACAAAAGGTCCCCCTGGTTACAGCTGTCAGATGATCCTCCAAGGACAGCTGCCTATCCAGGAGGACTCCCAGATTGCGAGCCCCTTCTGTGGGGGCCAAAGACTCTCCCCCAATAGTCAGTGATGGAGTCAACTGACTATATCGGGATGCCGGGAGCCACAGCCACTCAGTCTTGGAATGGTTGAGCTTGAGCCTGTTCCTCCCCATCCAGATCCGCACAGCCTCCAGGCACTGGGACATCACTTCAAGGGCATCATTGGGGTGGCCTTGAGTATGACACTCCTGATTTAGAGAGAAATTGAGTATGACACTCCTGATTTAGAGAGTTGCAGAAGGGCTAACTGAAATGACCTTTCTTCCCTTCAAACCTGAAGCTATACATAATGACTCCTATTCTTTTTCCATCCATTATTCCTTGATGGTGTGTGTGTTCAAAGGAAACAATGTACATGAAGCAGAATTGAGTTAATGACGGGAGGCAAAAGGTTGAGTTTCCAAATACCCAAATGTTCCTTTAGACTGCTGATGCTTTAGAAAATGTGAAGGACCTCTTATAATTTTAAAACAGTATCTAATTAATCTTCAGAGTTTTGAGATAGCACTGGAGAAGAACATATGTGTAGGTTTTGTGTTTTGTTTTTTTTTAATTTTGATTTATATGCCGCCCTTCTCCGGAGACTCAGGGCGTCTTACAATGCGTTAAGCAATAGCCTTCATACTTTTGTATATTTATACAAAGTCAGCTTATTGCCCTCACAAACTGGGTCCTCAATTCACCTACCTTAGAAAGGATGGAAGGCTGAGTCAACCTTGAGTCTGGGGAGATTCGAACTTGCAGAAATTGCAGGCAGCTGAATGTTAATAACAGGCTATTAGTCTGCTGCGCCACCAGAACAAATTATGTTTTTAAACTAGCATGAATAATCCAAATCTATATATATAAAAGTGAAAACCACTCACCCATTAATCACGAAATCTCCAGAACCGTAAAGCCTACAAACTTGAAATTTGCCACGTATGTTCCTCTTGGCTTCTAGGTGCTCACTAAGAAAGGATTTTTCGAAATAACCATCAGAGCATTAGTATTCCCTATATTATTATTAACACACTCTGATGCTAAGGAGTTGTATTTCCCCTCCCCACCTGTAAAGAAATCTGTTGCACATTCTGATGCTAAGGAGTTCTACTCCCCCTTCCCACCTCAAAAGAAATCTGTTCCAAATGCAAAACACAAGCAGAAGAGAGGAGTTTCACTTTCAGTTTTATGTTCACATCAGCAAGCAGCTTTATTACAGAACAGTTGAGCTAAGCCATACCCAGCCTCCTTCCTGTCTCCTTGCTCACACAGCAAATACTGTTGAATTTCCAAACACCCCTCAACTCTCTCTCACACTGACAGGATGCTAGTCAGATGAATACCGATGGATGCTGCGGGCTGGGACATTCTACTCCCCCTCCCCCTCTGATCCAACTGCCAGTTGCATTATATTAATACACTCTTATGCTACGGAGTTACACATTCTACATTAAGTTTCAGGCTGCAAGTGTCAATTTATCAAGCCCAAGAACATAGTTTTGTAGCGAAGCACAGGCGTCCTGCTAGTAATAAATATACTGGTCTTTCTAGGATAGTGGTTAGAAAGACAATTGGACAATAATGGGTATTTCTTCACAAAATTCATTTCTCTTGTGGAAATCATGAGTGATGGGCTTCTTTTTAAAAGATTGACATGAGAACTGAGTGATTGCACATAAAAATTAACATTTCCTTTATCTGTTATCCTATATCCAGATACAGAAGATTGCTTCAAATGTCCATCTGATCAGTATCCAAACCAGGAACACGACAAATGTTTCCCCAAAATGATAGTTTTTCTGTCTTATGAAGAACCTTTGGGCATCTCCTTAGCCGCGAGTGCCATCTTCTTCTTCTCAGTCACCGTTTTGGTATTAAAAATATTCCACCTGCACAAAGATAGTCCCATAGTCAAAGCCAACAATCGGGACCTCACCTATGCACTCCTTATCTCTCTTTTGCTCTGCTTCCTCTCACCTTTCCTATTTATTGGTAAGCCCGGGATGATGACCTGTTTCCTTCGGCAACCAGCCTTTGGTGTCATCTTCTCACTGGCTGTTTCCTGTGTCTTAGCTAAAACCATCACTGTGGTGGTAGCTTTTATGGCTACCAAGCCAGGATCCGGTATGAGGAAGTGGATGGGAAAGAGGCTTACATGTCTCATTGTCTTTTCCAGCTCTTCCATCCCAGTTGGCATGTGTGCTATATGGCTAACAATCTCTCCCCCATTCCCCAATTTGGACATGGACACACTGACCACTGAGATAGTAGCTGAGTGTAAGGAAGGTTCCGTCGCTATGTTTTATCTTGTCTTGGGCTACATGGGACTTCTGTCCATCATCAGCTTCAGTGTTGCTTTTCTAGCTAGGAAGTTGCCAGATAGTTTCAACGAAGCCAAATTCATCACCTTCAGCATGCTGGTATTCACCAGTGTTTGGTTGTCCTTTGTTCCAACCTACCTGAGTACCAAGGGAAAATATATGGTAGCTGTGGAGATCTTCTCCATCTTGGCCTCAAGCGCTGGGCTTTTGGGATGCATATTTTTCCCCAAATGTTTCATAATTGTGCTGAGGCCTGAACTGAACAACAAGGAGCACCTCATGAGAAGAAAGCAGATGCAAAAATAATGCACAATGGATACCTCTTTTGGGACAGATACAATGGATTTTATGTATCTGCTGATGAAATAATACATTCAGGTTTAATTTATTTTTCAATTTACTTGTTCATCCCAACCCTCAGCAGAAAATTACAGTGAGGATGCTCAAAAGGCATGTAAATGAAAGATGAAGAATAAATTTGTGATTTTCACAATATGGATGCTGTTGAAATATATCTCACATTCGTTCACGTATGCTTTTACTGTTTTCTATTAAATAATGCTATTTTTATCGTTCTTTTCATACCAGTTCTCCTAAAGTTCTTTGACTGTAAGCTTAGACATAGAATTGAGAAACAAAGAGGAAATTTCTCAGACTCCGCAAGATTACTTTAGCAAACTACCTTAGGAATTGATATGCAAAAAGCCATTAAATGAAGAGGTAAAAATGATAGACAGGATATACAGTAGATAAATGGAGCTTTTGATGACTGCATTCCAAAAAATGTGGTTGGAGTAAGTGTTGAGCAAACCTCTTAAGATAGTTTCTCCTTCTCCTCCTCCTCCCCCCCTCATAGTGGTACATATTGATTTGATACCTTGTTTAAATATTTTTAAAGTGATCTCACGGACCTAGAATTGTGGGTAGTTCCCTAGCCAAGCACTGTCCCTTCTTAATTTGATTTTAGATCAACTGATAACAGCTGGGCATTGCTATATGCTGATGCCAATACATTAACAAAATTTGTACCCCATCTCTGACCTTAAAACCCTGATCAGATTGTCATCCTTAATCTTGTTCTGTCCCCGTCTCACACGCACACACACCAACAGACGTCCAAGAGTTAAAAACCAAGCCAGCCGACAAAATCCTTTTCCTTATGATAACGGAACTTGGCAGCAACCTAGTGGCTACCTGCCAAGAGTTTATTACTCACGAAGGGAAGAGATAACGTCTCTCCGCTTCTGGTACATCAAAGTAAATTGTTCAATAATTACAGAGTAACTTAAGACCAAATATAATCCAGCAAAGTCTATAGCAAAAGTCCGGCAATGCAGAATGGCGTGGAAGCTTTCAGCTTTGTTCGTCACAAGGCTTGACTGGCCACCACGCTCCCTTTTATACCCTGTGGGGTGTGGTCCAGTGACTCAGCCTAATCTCGGGCACGCCTTTTCTTCTGTTGTGCGCACTTATCTCTGCGACGCTTGCATGGATCCAGCCAAGACTCATTACTCTCATCACTGTCCACCTGTGGCTGCATGGACGTGCTTGGCCCCCTGCCCTATCTCTTGCCCTTCGGCAGACACTGAAGACATTGCCAAAGAGGAGGGTCCTGGAGAGGGAGGCCTTGCCAACTCCTCTCCTTCACTCTCGGAGTCCTCTCCTGCCGATGACACAGGCTCAGGTAATGGAGCCACAACAAATCTCCTGTTCAATATCTGCAGGAAACATTTGGTGAGATCATCTGTCTGTAAAGGGTGAGGCATAACATCAATATGGAGATGATACCTAGATATGCAGTACATGTCTGGCTCCTTCCTTCCTTCCTTCCTTCCTTCCTTCCTTCCTTCCTTCCTTCCTTCCTTCCTTCCTTCCATCCATCCATCCATCCATCCATCCATCCATCCATGTGAAGCTATCGAGGTTCTGCTCCAATGTCTGGAGGCTATGAGGGTCTGGAGGAGATAGAACAGGTTACAGCTCAACTTTGACAAAACTGAGTCATTCTGGCATCTGGCTATCAGATCTAATAAATTGCAAATAGACTAGAATAGAATTCTTTATTGGCCAAGTGTGATTGGACACACAAGGAATTTGTCTTTGGTGCATATGCTCTCAGTATACATAAAAAGAAAAGATATGTTCATCAAGAATCATAAGGTACAACACTTAATGATAGTCATAGGGTACAAATAAGCAATCAAATCATATTAGGAATATTACAATATAAATCGTAAGGATACAAACAACAAAGTTACAGTCATGCAGTCATAAGTGGGAGGAGATGGGTGATGGGAATGATAAGAAGATTAATAGTAGTGCGGACTTAATAAATAGTTGGACAGTGTTGATGGAATTATTTGGTTAGCAGAGAGATGGCGTTCGGGAATGCAGCTCAAAAAACATCTGGCTATCAGATCTAATAAATCGAGTCTTTCCATTTTTGATTTTGGACAGGGCAGCATTGTCCTGTTTGGACTTGGTGGACAATCTGAGTTACTGAATGGTTGAAGAACGTTCAACAGCTATGATCATGGGGGATTTTGCATACATATATGGGGCATCAGTTTTGCCAATTCCTGGACTGGAACAGCATGCTGATTAGTGACCTCTCATTTGTAGTAGTTCAATGCATTCTACAGGGGGCTGTCCTTGAAGACCATCTGGAAACCACAGTTGGTTTGGAGTGGAACACTGCAGGCAGTTATGTGTGCATCTCTTTAGACGCATGTAACACTGCTAGTTAGCATGTGTTAGCATCCAGATATGATTTGAGATGCTGGTTATCACCTTTGAAGTTTTACATGTCATAGAAAGGGGCTTACATGTCATTGAAGTCTTACATGTCATAGAAAGTGGTCCCACAATAAAGTTGTGGGGCTACTTTATTTCAGGAACATCTGTCTGCCCCACATGCTCCTATGGTATGCTCCAAATTTACTCTTTCACACATAGCTCCCATACTACCTCCCATACTACCACCTCTTACAATACTAGACAACACAGTATCAACAGTCGAGACCTTCAAATTTCTAGGTTCTACCATATCTCAAGATCTAAAATGGACACCTAACATCAAAAATGTCATAAAAAAATCACAACAAAGAACTCAGAAAGCTCAAAACTGCCCAAGGAGCTGCTGATCCAGTTCTACAGAGGAATTATTGAGCCTGTCATCTGCACCTCTATAACTGTCTGGTTTGGTTCTGAAACCCAACAAGATAGACACAGACTTCAGAGGATAATTAGAACTGCAGAAAAAACAATGGCTACCAACCTGCCTTCCATTGAGGACCTGTATACTGCACGAGTCAAAAAGAGGGCTGTGAAAATATTTACAGACCCCCTCGCATCCTGGACATACACTGTTTCAACTCCTACCCTCAAAACAACACTATAGAGCACTGCACAACAAGACAACTAGACACAAGAGCAGTTTTTTCCCAAACGCCATCACTCTGCTAAACAAATAATTCCCTCAACACTGTCAAACTAAGTCTGCACTACCATTAATCTTCTCATCATTCCTATCACCCATCTCCTCCCACTACAGTATGACTGTAACTTTGTTGCTTGTATCCTTATGATTTATATTGACTGTTTCCTAATATGATTTAATTGCTTATTTGTACCCTATGACTATCATTAAAGGTTGTACCTTATGATTCTTGAAGAATGTATCTTTTCTTTTATGTACAGTGAGAGCATATGCACCAAAGACAAATTCCTTGTGTGTCCAATGACACTTGGCCAAGAAAGAATTCTATTCTATTCTATTCTATTCTATTCTATTCTATTCTATTCTATTCTATTCTATTCTACCCCACCCCACCCCCACCCCATCCCACCCCACCCCACCCCATCCCACCCCACCCCATCCCATCCCATCCCATCCCATCCCATCCCATCCCATCCCATCCCATTCTATTCTATTCTATTCTATTCTATTCTATTCTATTCTATTCTATCCCACCCCACCCCACCCCACCCCACCCCACCCCACCCCATCCCATCCCACCCCACCCCACCCCACCCCACCCCACCCCACCCCACCCCATCCCATCCCATCCCATCCCATCCCATCCCATCCCATCCCATCCCATTCCATTCCATTCCATTCCATTCTATTCTATTCTATTCTATTCTATTCTATTCTATTCTACTCTAGCTGGCGGAGCCTGAAAGCAACCTCATTGCCAGCTGCCAGTCAAAAGCAACAAATAACTAAGGATTCACTTTGAGGAAGAGAAGTTTTAGGCTGCTTCAGCAAAGCATTTGCTCACTGTGTCACTTGCACAGTAATAAGTGCCCGTGTCCTCAGTCTTTAAACCAGTCAGTTGAAGGAACACCTGGTTTTTGGATGCATCCCTTGTGATGCTGATCCGATTCTGGAGAGCACTGTTATAGTTAGTGCTTCCACTACCCCAGATGATACCATTCCATTCAATAGCCTTTCCAGGGGTCTGACGGATCCAGGACACTCCGTAGCTTGTGATGGCAAATCCAGAGACTGTACAAGTCAGCCGTGGAGTATCTCCTGGCTTCTTCATGCCATCCCCAGACTCCGTCAGTGTAATCTGTGAGGAAATACCTGTATTCAAGAGTATAAAAGGGGACAAAAGGAAAAATGGGTATGAGAAAAACCACTTGCTGTCTTTAAAAAAATGTGGGTTTTTTTTCCCCCCTTACATGCAGGTAAGACCATTAAGAAAGAAATCAAGATATTTAGCTCCATGATGGAGGTATGGAATTTACTCTGGTGACTTGAAACTGATCCTCGATTACGACATTTAAGAAAAAGCCACACCAGGAGCATTTGCATGAACTCACGGATGGTACAAATATAAGCAAGTCACATCCTCAAATTTAACCTGCTGCGTAACAGTAAGCCTTGAGCTTGTATCAGAAATGGTGCATGTTTGTTTGTTTGTTTGTTTGTTTGTTTTTGTTGAGTACGTATTAGATAATATATATATAAGTATAAGCATGAATTGAATACATACAATGAATACAATCCACGCTGCATCTACTATGCATTTATATTCTGTTTGGTGGGCAACTCAGGATGAATTCATAAACAAGACCACATTGTTTTCTTTGCATTGATACCGAAGGGGTTTGATGAGATGGTCTTCCTGAATTGGTTTTGACGTTTCAATCTAGAATAGAAACCTGAGAATTCTACATGCTTCCATTCAAGTTGTAGAAAAGCCTTATTTTCCTGCCTTGAGGAATATTGATAGATTAATAAATGTATTTTTCTTGTAACAATCAATATACATACATGCATGCATGCATGCATGCATGCATGCATACGTACATACGTATGCAGGCAGCCCAAGTTCGAATCCAGTAAGGGTATGGCTAGCTGATGAGTACTAATTTTTTTTTTTAAATTTGATTTATATGCCGCCCTTCTCCGGAGACTCAGGGCGGCTTACAATGTGTTAAGCAATAGCCTTCATACTTTTGTATATTTATACAAAGTCAGCTTATTGCCCCCAATTTCAAGCTATTTCAATAGCTTGAAATAGATCTATACTAGTCTCCCAATGGGCAGCAGGGTGCTTGTTGGCTGCCTGAAAAAAAGCCTAGAAACTAGTGGATTGTGATTTCACTGAATTAGGGCTGCATAAAAATCTTGATTTATGTAGGAAGAACCTTGCTAAAGAGAAATACACATAAAGGCCTACTAAAAGAAAAGAAAACTAATACTGTACCTTTACAGGAGGGATACATGGGATGAGGGTGTGGCTAACTGATGAGGACTAATAAATCTGAAATAGATCTATCTTAGTCTCCTTAGTCTCCCAATGGGCAACAGGGTGCTTGTTGGCTGCCTGAAAAAAAGCCTAGAAACTAGTGGATTGTGATTTCACTGAACTAGTGTTGCATAAAAATCTTGGTTTACATAGGAAGAACCTGGCTAAAGAGAAATACATACATATACATATACACATACATATACATATACATATACATATACATATACATATACATATACATATACATATACACACACAGAGAGAGAGAGATACATATATAGATATACAGATATAAGATACATTTGTTGTTGTAAGTTGCAAAGTCAAGTCCGACCCATCGCAACCCCATGGACAATGTTCCTCCAGGCCTTCCTGTCCTCTACCATCCTCTGGAGTCCATTTAAGCTCACTCCGACTGCTTCAGTGACTCCATCCAGCCACCTCGTTCTCTGCCGTCCCCTTCTTCTTTTGCCCTCAATTTTTCCCAGCATTAGGCTCTTCTCCAGTGAGTCCTTCCTTCTCATTAGGTGGCCAAAGTATTTGAGTTTCATTTTCAGGATCTGGAGGATCAGGATCTATAGATCTATAGATATAGCTATCTATCTAGCTATCTAGATAGATAGATAGATAGATAGATAGATAGATAGATAGATATAGATATAAATTGGTCTCAGAAACTTCAACTATATGAAGATGTTCTTGCCTTATGAACTGAGCACCAATGGGCACCACCCATTTAATAACAGATCCTTTTAGGTACAGACGTTTCCTTTCTTCAGGGCCAAAATAATGGAAAAGGCTGAACGTTCAGGTGGGGGAAGAATTGGAGAACATGAATGGAGATGCTGAGAAGTATGTATGGCTATCCACGCTGTCACTATAAACTCTTCCCTTGTTGTTCATCACAACACTGCCTTGTAAATCTATCTGTCTTCTTTTCTTAAAGCAATGCTAAACAAAGAGGTAAACAGGGAGAAGATTAATTTTGTTACTTGCTGTGGACAGGAATATCACTTGATCCTACTTGCCTTTATATCCCCCATCATCAACAAAACCCAGCTGTCCATCAACATCTGCCAGTTCATCTGCCAGTCAAACAGCAGCAGCAAGCAGGAAGTGGGGAGAAGACAAAATGGGAAGGGAAGGGAAGAGAGAGAGATGGGAGGGGAGGGGAGGGGAGGGAAGGGAAGGGAAGGGAAGGGAAGGGAAGGGAAGGGAAGGGAAGGGAAGGGAAGGGAAGAGACCTTTGTATCAGCCTAGATGTACATACCTAGATGGAAAACCCCAACATAGCCCATATTTCTATCCTAATGGGTCTGGTGGAGGAATTGGAGCTGTATGTTACTACCTTATTCTACTGCCCTAAAAACAGAATTGGAAGTCAATGCTTTTCTCTTTCCCCCCCCTCTCTTTTCCTGTACATTTTTTTATTTCTCCTTTTCCCCCTTACTTTCTCTTTATTTTCATTTTTTGGGGTGTGTTTTATCTTTTGATCAGCTAATAAAAATTTAGACGTAGATGATTTTCTACAGACCTCTTGCAAGTGCAGTGATATCAACAAGCGATCTACATAAAATATCAATACAATACAATTGTCTCTTTTTAAAAAAAAAAATGAAAGCCATAAAATATACAAAACAAAAAGTGGAGAATGGCAACCAGGAGAAAATTCATCAATCACATATACATACAGTAGAATTCCTAAGCTTAACCACCTCCCAGAACCCGTGAATTCTCCTGAGAATTCATGCTGGTGGGGGAATTGGAGAATTCTCAGGAGAATTCATGCCGGTGGGGGAATTGGAGAATTCTCAGGAGAATTCATGCCGGTGGGGGAATTCAGGGAATTGAAATCCAGATATCTAAAACTTGAGGAAGTGGACAAACATTTAAATATATTGAATGAATAAACAATCAATCTATGTCTTTCAGCTCTGAGGACACTCCTGCACAACAGTTACTCCAGATGGTAAACCAATGTTTCCTTCCCTATTTTTGTTCTTCCTTTGCGGTTTCTTCTATTTTTCAATTCTGAACATTTTTTTTTTCTGAACAAAAGTGTGATGGAACACGAGCTCCACCTCCAGGAACATCCTTCCAAGGTTTAGAGAGGTTTTTACATGAGTTAATGTTAGACTTTCAGCACTGTGTATCTCTAGCGCAGTAATAGACACTTGTGACTTCTTGCTTCAGATTGTTCATATACAAATAGAATTGAGGATTGCTTTTTGAAGGCACAGATTCTCCCTTGGATAGCTGGAGAATAATTGTTTGTTCCTGAAGAATAATGAACCAACCATTCCAGACCCTTCCCTGGAAACCAATGGTGATATTCAGCCGGTTCGTACCAGTTCGCCTGAACTGGTAGCGGAAATCGCAGGTGGGTCCGCCCACCTGCCCTGGCTGTATGCCATCCTATTTAGGCATATTTTTGAGGCCGGGCACATGCGTGGAAGGTGCGCACACAAGCAAAGCACATGTGCCGAAGACCGGGCGCATGCGTGGAACGCAGGCACACACGCGAACTGGGAGCACACACATGAACCAGGTGCACACACGAAGTGAGCATGTACGAGCATGGTAGTAAAATAATCCAAAACCCACTGCTGCTGGAAAATGCCTGATCCAAAGCATGCCATAACTGCTTAAGTCAAATCCTGAAGCAGATCTTGTGGATTCTCTTGGTCTTTTTTTCTTCTGGATCAGAGGGAGTGAGAGTGACTTGTGAATCCCCATCTAGAAAGCAAAGAGGCAGTTAGATTGCTTTAATGAAGGATAAGAACCAGTAGGGTCAAGTGATATCCTTGTCTATAGCAAGCAAGCAAATTAATCCTCTCATAGTTGAACTTTTATTAAACAACTATGGGTTTTGTTTTGTTTTTTAAAAAGGCAGAAAGTGTTGTGACCCACCAGCTGCCAGTGGAGCTGACTCAGATGATGAAGAGGTTGGGGAGGAACTTGGGCCAGTTCTGAAGCCTGGAGAAGGCTCTGATGGATGGTCTGCATTGGATGCAGAGATAGAGCCAGGGCCATCCGACAATTCCAAGCCACCAGAGAGGCAGCTGCCTTTGGAGGTGGAGATGAGTGAGGAGGAAGAACATCTGGGGCCTGTTTGAGATGCACGTATGCACAGAACTATTAGAAGAGGAGAACAACTGAGGGCAAGGAGTTGATTTGGGAAGCAAGGCACACATGGATGCTGAATGACCCCTCCCTGGCTGGGAAATAAATAGAAGGAAAGGGGAGTGGTGGTCATAGGAGACAACAGTTCAGATTTCTGAAGAATTGGCTCATCGTGTTTTGTGCTACAAAGACTGCTTCCCAGAACTTAATTTGTAGCTTTAGGACTGGGAGCTCATGGTCTGGCAATTATCGTAAGGAACTGATAAGGTCTGTTACTGCAGTAAACCCTTTGAAGGACTATTGCTTGGACTTTTCAGTGTGTGAATGGCATTAATTCACAGGAGATAAATGAAGAGGGGTTTTTTTGTGACAAGGAGTCTGTTTCTTGTTTCTGCTAAGGCTGGGTCAGAACAGAAAGGTTTACAAGGAGGTGTTAAGATGAACAACAAGATGCTTAAGAGCCACAGCATTGCAATGAATGGAAACCTTAATAAATCTATGATGACTGACTCAGGCCGAAAGGAAGTCCTGTTTCTAGGAAACCGAAGAGTGGCCTTTAAAAATGAAGTGCAAGTCTTGGTTTGCATATTTCTGACAGGAAAACGCAAAATATAACAAGTTAAGGGATGAAAGAAGAGCTCATAAAGGCAAGAATAAGCAAAAGGAAATCACCCCTAAATCCAATAAGTTGATAGCATTCAACTCTTGGTGTCCATAATTATGTTGGCAGGATATCACACTCTTGGTGGCATTGTCTGGAATATAAATGGGAGGAGTTGCATTATGCTGCAGAGCTTAGGACCCTAAATTTGACAGATGAATGGAGATAAGTGAGAACAACTATAAA